ATTGAGCAGTGTACTCCAAACTTCTAGTTCAATTCAATATAAATACTTTGCAAAAACAAAGTAAATTGTCCTTGCAGGTTTGGTGCTCTGTCACTGCAAAAGGGTAATAAGGATGTTGTTTGGACCCTGGTAAACAGAGCCTTGCTGAACAGTGTAGAACAAATATTTACTAACTACCAGAGCATAGTGCACTATGGCTATGAGGCACCTCAAGGCTTGGAAAACAGCCAGTTTGTCATTCTTAATACAAACTCTGTCTCCTTTGAGACTGAACACTAGGATCCGAGATGGATAAGCACCATTTATCCCTGCAATCTCCATCACTGTAAAAGGAGACAGAGGCATGCCATCAGAGTAATTGCAGTGCACTCCAGCAGGTCTCCCTGGTCTGGAAGAAAAAAAAAAAAAAAGTTCTAGATCATACATACATGTAATTAATTCCTCAAAAGCAGATGTAACGTTTTTGAGCGTGATGTTAGGTGAATCAGACCCATCTCAGAACCGATGTGGAAAAAAATATGAATTAAGACTGAAAAAAAATATATATCTTTCAGTTACTGCTGTCCTCTGCTCATGGAACCCAGTTCCAAGAGTTTACAAGAGTTTCCAAGAGTTTCAAGAAGCCTCAGACTTCTGTGAATGCCTATAAACATCCGGAGGTCCATCAGAAGCCAAAGGGCTTCTGCCAAGGATCACAGAACTCTGGCAGCATCAGCTTTTCCTAAGTTCTATACTCCATGAACCAGTTTTTTTCTAGCTGAGAATTCCCCCATGCAAGTGAGCTCTTCAGATTCTCATTTATGACTGCTTTAAAACATTTGTATATAGCACATGAAAGAAGCTTTCATGTAAGTCAGGAAATAGCCGTTTACTTTTCAGTAGTTACAACTATATTTTTACAGGCTCTGATCAAGTTTTAACAATGTCAATGCAGCTTCCTATTCTGGACTTATACTCACTACAAATAAATAAATAAATAAATAAATAAATAAATAAATAAATTCTTAGTTAAACAGAATATCTTTGGCATGCTAATTAACCTGCTGTAAAATCCTGAAGGTAATAAAACTGCCACTTTATGGAAAGAAAACCAGCAAAGACAGCAATGGGCAGAAGCAATTTTGGGCCTTCAATATAACTCCATCATTTCTTCTCTTTTCTAGGATTCTTTTTATGCTTACCTCCACAGCTCTGCTGGTCTAAGGGGTCTTATACATGATTTTACAGCTCCAGCCTCCTTCATCAGCATTTATTGAACAGATTTAATAGAATCATAGAATCATTAAGGATAGAAAAGATCACTAAACTTATCTAGTCCAACCATCAACACATCATCATCATGCCCATTAAACCACGTCCCTCAGTGCCACATCTGCACATTTTTTGAACACCTCCAGGGACAGTGACTCAACAACCTCACTGGGTAGCCTGTTCCAGTGCATCACTATTCTTTCTGAGAAGAAATTTTTCCTAATATCCAACCTGAACCTTTTCTGGAGAAACACAAGGCCATTCCCTCTAGTCCTATCACTAGTTATGTAGGAGAAGAGGCTGACAATCGTCTCACCACAATCTCCTTTCAGGTAGTGGTGAGGTGAGGTTTCCCTTGAGCCTCCTCTTCTCCAGACTAAACAATCCCAGCTCCCTCAGCCACTCCCAATAAGACTTGTGCTCCAGTTCACTCACATGCTTCATTGCCCTTCTTTGAGCATGGTTCAGGTACTCAATGTCTTTCTTATAGTGAGAGGCCAAAAACTGAACACAGTAGTCAAGGTGTAGCATTTTCAATGCTTTGAAGCTACTTAATTCTATTTTTACTTTGCAGTGCTTTCTTCTTCTTTTTCTTGTATCTAAAAGGCTTTTGGAGTTAGGAGTTTTCTTAAAGAAACAGCATAATAAGAAACAGAGCTAGTGTTATTTAACAAATAGTTATACTAACTTCTTTACCTTAAAATAATACAATTATCTCCAAAATCCCAGTCTATTCTAATATATTATTGACAACCAGTTACATGAATATTGCAGTCCTCAAATTAATATTTAGAACAAAATTATATGAAGGAAAAAAATGCAGCTGCACCCTCTGCACTTTCAGTGTGAACTGAAGTAAAAGTGGCTTCCCAGCGGTGTAGGTACACCTATCGATCTGAGTCTTGGTTGAATCTTTCCCTTACTTAGTCATTAATCTGAATAACTACAAAAGTTGTTCCTGCCATTTATATAAAGCACAAAGCATTTATGATGCTTAAAAGAAACTAACAGTCTCTTGGTAAATGTGAAGCAGGAGAAGAAATTCAAAAAGTGTACTTTGATCCAGTATTAAAGTGGGGTTAGGCTGCATACCTGGTATCTGTATCAGCTAAAACCCCAATGCACTCAGGGTACATAACAGATTAGATGAGATTAGTGTGTTATCTTTGTAATATGTACACAGTGTTGTTTGTCCTTACCTTTTCATAGGAGAAATTTTTCTATTTTCCAGACTGTTGTTTTTTTGTTTTTTTTTTTTCTAATTCCACAACACTAGTAGCTGAAAGTGGATCTGATTTTGCTTATTCCCCAATTCTGTCTGCTCCAATAGTCAGGCTTTTGCCACACTACATGAACTCATTCATAGTGGTGAGCTCATTCTGATGAGCCTCAGCTCCTTCTCATGGCTGGAGCTGTATAAAATGCAGCAGATATTCTAGAAAATTCTAGAATAAACAGCAGTTAGCAGCCATTTCTCACCTGCAGAAGAAAGTGAGACTTCTAGGTAAATGGGAAAGGCTTCATTTGTGCTTCAGTGGTTGCTACTTCCATACACTCAGAACAGAACCCCTCGGGAAGGATAATCCTGTTCAGTGGGTGGAACCAAGTCCCATGAAGAGGTGGGATGGCTGGCGCCATTTCCATAGCTTCCCTGTGAAGAAACAGGTTTTCACAGAGCTGTGAAAGGAGTCTGTACTCACCCCTAGGCATTTAGAACTGCAAATGAGGTAAACCATAAAAGGCTGTGTGCGGTTTGCAGTTGTACTTAGGAAACCTACCACACAATGCTCTAACAGTCCTTGGCTAACCTGTGTGTACCTGGTAAATCAACATCCAGTCCTGTGTTGAAAAAGGGCAAGACTAATAAAAACATGCTTTCTAATGTGTTACGGACATAAGTAATTAATGTGTTTAAACTATTAAACTCTGAATTTCAGAGAAAAGAATTCCCAAATTGCACTGGGGCCAAAGACAACAGTCATATGCATGTGAGTTGTCAGCTTAAAGGACGGGATGAAAAGGACATTCATCATTTATATCTGGGCTTGGATAAACAATGGGGCAAGTTCAAGAACTCAGCCTAGGGATGGACAGAAGTGCAGGATGAGCAGATGATAAAGGACTCAGGCTCAGAAGTAGGGCTCAGAAGTCCTGCCCTGTCTGCATAGCAGGACTGTGTGCGGCAGCCATTTCAGCCTTCCTGCCATAAGTAATGGTGGACAGAGTTCCAGGAAGAGAGAAACTAGAAGTATTCTCCATAAGGTAGGTGACTGCTACCCCAGGCTGCTCTTTCACACTTCCCAGTGCTTCTCACCAGGAGACTAAACCTGACAGCTGTTCTCAGAAGGAAATATGCTGTAACATTTTAATTTCCTGGCCCTGCTTGCTAAAGGGCATTATGGAGAAAGTAGCGTTGGTTAATCACTGCTAGGTGAGATACAAAATATCCTTTCACAGAGTTCTTTCACTTAAGAGCTGCCTCCCTTTCACTGCTTGTCTAGAGCACGAATCACAGCCATTCAGAGGCAGAAGGGCACATGTAACGATAAAGCTGTGAAGGTAACACAAAAACTACAAGGTATTTCAGATTGGCAATCAATAAGAAAGGGAAAAAGTACAGAATTCACCTGTATGCTCTAAATGAAGGCCATTATCCCATTATTCTGGATTGGATGCACACGCACAAAGAGATGTTTCTCTGTCTGCACTGACACCTAAAGACATAGTGGAGCTGAGCCTTAATAGCACATCTTTGCTTTGATTGTTTGAAAAATTATTTTTCATTCCATGTTAAAACCGGAGGACTTTTTCTACTGAAACCCCTCACCGTGCATTCTGATAGCAGTCTGATCTTTGACATGATCGTCACTGTGGGCAGTGTCCCTTCTTCATTCAATCTTTGACCTCAGCTAGGGATTGCTGTCTCAGTAAGTGGCAGTTCTTCACCTGCTCTTATCCGTGTAATGCATGCTCACAGTTCAGTCTGTGCAGACAGTGCTTTCCCACAGCCAATGCTACTGTGCATTTACACATTACACACATTCTAATAGCACAACACCTGCAGGACCACCTTTACGCAAGCATTAGGAGGCACTGCTCAACAACTTTTGTGGCTGGCGCAGGTAGAAACAGTCCTGATGCTTCCCTTTCTTTCAAGCGTTCGATGCTTGGGTTGTGTGCCACAGCAGGAAGTACCGCAATGGGAATTGCCAGCCCGGAGTCGCTGCCAGGAGCTGCAGCGCGGTGTCCTGGCAGGGAGCCGCAGGGAGAGCTGCCAGCCCCACGGGGCCTCCGCCGCCCTGCCCTGCCCGCCCCGCCGCGGGGCTGCGGCCCGACCACAGCGCCCGGCTCACCGCGCGCGGCCGGACGGCGCCGGGCGCTCCTCACGGCCGCCGCCGGGGTCGCCTCCAGCGGCGGGTCGAGCCCCCCACGCTCCCGGGCCGGCACCGGGCGCCCCTCTCCACTGCCGCGGGGAGCCCGGAGGCGGTGGGCGAGTCCCAGCGGCCCCGCCCGCAGCCCTGCCCGCCGCTCTCCCGCCAGCCCGCGGCGGCCGGGCCGGTAGCGCTTCGCTCCCTCCCGCGGTGCGAAGGGACAGGCCGGGCCGGTTCCTGCCTTCTAACTTCCCCAGAGTTTGCTCGGGTTTCCCCCTCCCAGCGGGACCCGCCTCGGCTCCAAGTGCTACAGGAGGGAGGGGAACGAAAGGAGGGAGGGCGGGAGGGGAAAGGCGTGTCTTGCCGGGGCTGCCGCCGCCGCCGCTGCCGCCGCTGCCAGAGGCAGATCCGAGATATAAAAGACCTGGCCGGGCGCCGGGCTCCGCTCTAGTCCTGCCGTGGCGAGAGGCCCACAGCGGAGCGACAGCAGCTTGGGGCTGGCCGAGGGCAACCCCAATGCGTGGACTATCCGCCGCTGCAGCATGCTGGAGCTACAGTTCAGCTGAAGGGAGTTTGCACACGGCCGGCTGGGCTGGACTGCAGCGCTGCCGTTCCTTATGAAGAAGGCACAAGTGAGTGCGGTCGGGGGCGGCGGGCGCGGGGCTGCCGGGCGGGGGCCGCCGGAGGTACCTGCGGGCGGGGCGCGGAGCGGCGCGGCGAGCGCTACCGGCTGTGCCCGCGCCTCGGGGCGGCTATCCGTCATCCGGAGGCTGCGGCCGCCGGGCGTGGGGCGGGAAGGAAAGCACGGCACCCGTCCTTCAGGTGAGCCGCAGAGCTGCGGAGCGGTCCCGAGGAGGAAAATAATCATCGTTATAATAATCACAATAAAAAATTACCGTCGGGTCTTGTCCTCGGTTCTCGCAGAGAGTGGAAAAGTTCCAGCAAGCGGGTCGGGTCAGCTCCTTTGCCTTTGGGAGACTCGAGAGGCACTTGGAAAAATAATAAATCAGTCGTTTGCGTTACGCGTGGGCCACGCGGACCGGGTGTGAAAACGCGGAATGATCCGAGGCAGGAGCGCTGAAGCCGCGCCGGGTCGGTGCTGGAGGTTGCCGCCGGCATTCCTCCCTCACCCTCCTCGCTCTGCCGGGAAGAACTGCCGGTGTGCCCTTGCAGCGTTTGTGCCACTATTTATTTATCCAAGTTCTGTGCAGATTACAACTGCTCTGCGCATTATAAAAGCAAGGCTAGGGGCAGGCGACAGTGAATAAGAGTGGAAAAATCATCTCGTAACAAGAAGCGGCTGAGGGAAACTCTGAAAACTTTACTGCATCGCTCTGCAAGGTGCCTATGCCCTCCGCCCGGGCCCATCTCACTGGGAGTCGGGGCCGCTCGGTGCTGCGGCGGAGCTCGGAGGGTGCTGTGCAGGCACGCACACGGCGCGGATCCGGCTCTGGGGCTTCTGCCTCTCCGCCCCCGTTCTTCAGAAGCAAGATATGCCTTCCCTGTCTCTTGGCGATTGCCGCATCCCCCACACACTAGCAGCCCGAGGACTTCAGCATGCAGCCATTGGAAAAGGCGTAAAAATTTAAAATAGGGAAGCGCCTTTCTAAAGTCTTTTGGGCAGTTAAATACTTTTTCAAGGAGTGACAGAAATTAGGAAGAGTTCTTTTTGAAATGTTTAAGTGTCAGCTGGCCAAAGCGTTGGAGAATGGACCCGTGCCTAAGGAGGTATTAATTGCTGACTGTTAACTTTTGTGATGCTGAAATACAGTGAGATATTATCTGAAATGATCAAGTTCTGAATTCTAACAGTGTATCTCCACTGCTGATGTTCCCTTTAAATGACTAAAGGTGCCTTTCACCTCCAAACTGTTGTTTCAGATCTTCTACACAAGCTTGGTTCAATATGCTGAATAGATTAGTAATTGGGAATGGTCTCTTACTGAACTGTAAGAAATGTGTGTGCAGAGTTGTATGCATTCAGTTGGTATTAGAGTAGCAATGAAGTTGTAAGATGTTATCACAGCCCACAGAAACATGTGCTGAGCTGTTTCTTCAGAGAAGGAAAAAGCTGTTCAGCAATCAAGCAGGGATTTACAAGTGCAAGCAGTCAAGCGTTTCATTTCCTATGAACTGTAAACTTCTAAAACCAGCAGTGTACTGGAACGACTTCTTGTCATGGTGGTGAAGCATCTGTCAGCCTTCAAGCAGTAACGCTTCCTGCTTTTTGGAGACACTAACAGACTCTTAGCTTTCCAAAGGATCGTTTCTTTCATTTTAAGGATTAGCAAACAAACGTGATATCAAGCCATTAATCATTCCAATGGGATCAGAACAAGAGATACTTCTAGGAAGAATTTAAATTAAAACTGTGAAGATCCTTGTGCAAAGAGAGAACAAGTGATGTGGATACAAGGAGGAGGACTTAAGCACATCGTGGCACTCAGCACATTAGAGTGAACTTCAATCTTTATGCTCTCCTATGCACTTTTTCTAGTGTCTAGGCTAACAGGTGTCATAGAGAAGAGAATAGGATTGGAAAGCAAGAAAAGAAGTTAACATTTCTTAACAAAAATCCTGTATTTGACTTAACAGAGAAAGTAAGAACTGCTACCTCATTGAGCCTTGAAAATACTCAGCAATGTCTGGGTAGTTCTTAAAATAAATTGAGGATTTGATGTTTAATGCTGTGTTTTATGGGCACAGTATGTAAATAGTGTAGCTGTAGGAGCAACTGAGTCAGATGTCAGTGCAGCTGAAGTGCTGAAAGAGAAGAGCCTTGCTGAACACTAGAAGTGAATAGGTTGATCAGTTTATTTACACCAGTCTCAGCCTGACAGACATGGGGAACTACAGAAGCATGTTCCACAATAGTGTCAGTCCTAGAAGGATCATTTCTAAAACTGTACAGTTTAAGTATATAAACCCTTGATTTAAATGTACCAGCATCTCCTTGAAATATATATATATAGGTAATGCTCTTAGAAATATGATTAAGCATCTAGGGTCCAGTCATACAAATCCTTTTTCAATGGACTGTTTCCATGCATTAATCTTATTGAAGGATTACTTATATGAGAGGATTTGCAGGGTATATACTTAGTAATTAAAACCATTATCGGAAGTCAGTTTGTCCTTATGCATGCCACTATTGCAGCACATGAAATACCACTGATGTCTGGATAGCTTTTTACATTTGGGATAAAAAAAAAAAAGGTGACGGAAGCTGCTGTGATACAATCTTGTAGAAACATGTAGCAGGTTTCTGATTTCCTTGCTCTTTGTTTTACTTGCAGACAATCTAAATAAGATTAAGTTACTGAGAAATATGCTGCAAGGAGGGGTCAAGCATGGGGCTAACTCAGGCAGCTTTTGTTATTATGAACTGCTTGATATTTGGTTTGGGCAGTTGATCTTTAGCTGTGGGTTAGATGCACAACCTCTCAGAAACCTCAGTATTAGAAAAGCCTATCTCAGCTCATCTTTTTCCCTTTGAATGTTTGTTCTGTTACAGTAGTTAAATGACCTCCTGAAGTTGCCCTGTCCGTTGTACGTTTGCATCAAGGAACTGGGAGCCTCTGTATTGATTATTATAAAACAGTACCTGAAAGAAGTATTAATACACAAATTGCCTGTTCCTGTCTGATATTGGCAGGCTACAATAGAAATGCAAAGCAGGTATTGATTCATTTGTGCAAGCTTACAGAAACATTATTTCAGTGGAAAGTATAAACTCTGATCTCCAATCTTTCTTGCTCATTCTGTAAGAAAATGAACATGAGACACTGCAAGATACTAGCAGCTCATGGTAAGCATAGATCTGCTACTCATCGGATAGGTAAATAAGCTTGCTGGAGCCAGGAATATTTTGTGCTATTCACTATGAGTAATGAACTAAGTAAAGGCTCTTTCCTCTTTTCCCTGGTTTTCATTCTGTTTATGGGAGGCCGTTTTGAGAATACGGCAGCTGGAGAGGACATCTTAGATGGTTTATTCTCCATGAACTGTCATCTGGAGAATAAACAGCTGATAACCCTTAAGACTCAAAGCCTGGGGAATATTTTGTGAGGCATTTGGTGATTTGTTTCTTTGCCTTCTTGCATCATGTGTCTTCTAGCTTTTATCCCTGTGAACTATGCAGCACTTGTCTTTGTAGTTTAGACTGAGGCCTCTAGCCCAGTTTGTTCCTGACTTGGTTCTGCCACTGCACAGAAATACAATTTCTCCTTTTGTGAAAGAAATTTCAGGCGTTCAGGTACAGCTCTGCTAGCTGACAGTGTCATTCTCCAAATTTTGTTATGCGACTTAATGGTATGCTGGCTCATGTAATCGCCATATTGTACGCGAGTTAAGAGTTGGCAAGGCACAGCCCTTGGCTTAGGGTGGGCAATGCTCAGTATGCAGTATGTAAACACAACACCCATTTATTTGAAGCAAGGCAAGAAAAATCTCCCTACGTAATTCCATTTGAGTGGTGTGGGAGCTGACGGATGAAAACGAAAGCATTTGTTCTCTCCCTGATCTTTGGTATGCCAACCCTGAAACTCATCAGCCTTTTAAACACATTGCAAATCCTTGTTTCTCTTTCCTATGTGCTTGTGGAATAAAGGAGATGGCCCGATGTAAGGTGAGTGGAGAGGGGTTAGTACTCCTCTCTGTTTTGGTGGATCGTCCGTTGTTTGCACAGTGTCTTGTGTAATATGGAGATCTACAGATGCAGTGTTCAGAAGTATTATCAGTGCTGAAATGAGTGACTGCTGGAAAGCTGTAAAATATGGATTTTTTTTTTTTTTTTTTTCTGGGTGATTTTAATTCTTTGCAATTGTAAACAGTATCAGAAATTTATTAGTATGAGACTGAAAACTGAAAATATGTTACAGTTAAAAAGTAGTGTTAGGTATTTTATTTGATTAAAACCAATAGTATGCATAATAATTTTGGTTAATGAAGGTAGGTATGCTATTGAAGACATTGTTTCTTCCATATGTCTAAATAAAAGCTAGCTAAGGAGTTTGGATTAATGACAACTTTGGATCAAAATAAATGATAATAAATTATCCTCTAATTTTATATTGTTATCTAATAATCACTAAATTACTTTTTTTTTCTTCCTGTTTAAACAATACTTAAATCATACAAGATAGATGAATGGGTAACCATTTTAAACTGTTCAGGAATTTTCTTCTTTATACATACTCTTGCACTGTTGCTTTGCAGAGCAGACTTTAGTTGCAAGGTAAAAGTAGCATCAATTTACTGATGGTATTCCCTAGTGGAGGCCCTTGTGGTACTCACTCCTAGTACCACAGCTTGGAGTATACTGGTTTGCAAAGTGGCTAAGTCCTGAGCTTCCAGATATTCTATTAATACTTGAAACCATGCTAGACATGAGACATGGTGATGCAGAAGGGCCTTGCAGGCCCAGTTCAGTGCTCTCATAATAATCAGAGCTCCTGAAGGGATTTCTCAATCAGGTCTACAGCAGTCCTGCTAGGCCTTCATCTTCACCATTGTTAAGGAGAGTCTGTAAATACGTAGGAACTGCTGTATTTTATTGTTTTTGTTTTTTTTTTTCTTTCTTTTTCCTCTTCGTTGCTGCAAAACATAATGGATGGAGAAGATCAGGATCAGA